GTGCTAGCCACAACTGTTAGCCAAGGTTTTTACTTTTAAATCTGAAAACCATAGTAAAATGGTGCTGTAGAGTATAGCCCTCTATGCAGCCTGCAACGTTATTTTGTGAGGGGGAAACGTCTGTATGTACATGGCTATACTGCTTAGTATTGTGTGATTTTTTTTTTTTTTTTTTTTTGTATGGGAAGAAATAGAAGTAAATAATAGACATGTCCTCCACTCTGCAAATTTTCAATACTGATGAAATGCCTCTAACTTCATTTTAAATGTAAAAATAAAAAAAAAAATCTGTTTAATGATTAGCACCCCATGCCTACAACAGAGTCTATGCAGATGGATTCCTGCACCCACACAGAGGTGATTACAGTGGTGCTCTGTGCAGAGCAGGGCTCTGTCTGTCCGATGCTCATTGCAGGATCGGTTAAACACTTACTAAAATTCTCTGGCATCTTGTTCTTGTCCTACTGCTGTCATATGTCCTATTTAACTGAGGATTTCCCTGTTTTTTTTTTTTTTTTTTTAAAGGAAGTTGTCTGTTTTTGTTGTTATGGATCAGTTGTAAGGGAAGATGTGGACCCAGCATGCTTGAAGGTGATAATGCTCATTACATTTGGGGAGCTTTTGCTTGATGCTGGCTGATGTCCCATTTATAAACATTTTGTAAAAAAAACAAAAACAACCTCACAATAATAGGCTAGCATCCTTTTGTAGCTTGTTTTATTTAAAAATAGATAAAAGGCACTCTTTTTTAGCTACACGCACTCAGACTTGGTCCCTGGGTTAAGCAAAGGTTTGATACATTTACATTTAGATGGTAGAGATGGGCTAGTTAACTGGGTTGCTAGACTTGTGAAAGGAGGAAAAGAAGTCACTTGATCAGTCAGCAAGACCACATGACAAACAGCTGAAAGTAATTAGGTGGGTCATGATGTTTTTAGGCATTGGTTGATCTTGTATGTTACCATATAGGCAGCATAACATCTGAGTGCAAATGGTGATTTTTAGAGTCTAAATACACTTTTCTAAATTGCGTGTTTTTTTTCCCCATTGATCTCCATTGTAGATTAAAACCAACTTTCTTTGCATGGATGTGGTGTTCAAGAGATCCAAACTGCATCAGCACCGGGAAACTTGTAATTAAAGTAGATCTGGAAAACTACAGATCTATTTCCTGTTAATCCCAGGTATGTAAACTCCTTTTCTCTCAATGATTTACATACATATTTTACTGTGTTACTTTCTGGTGCTGACATGAGTTTATCATAAATGAATCTAAATACTGTGGTTTTTTTAAACAATTCTTTCCTTGTACTTTGACAAGTTGATTTTAAACATTTTTATTTCATCTTTGATATAGGCTTAATCAGCTGTACTAAATCCTCAAGTCCTGGAGGTGAAAGTGAAGTTAAGACTCTATAAATGCTGTATATGGTGTTATGTAGAATGTGCTGCTCTATCTTTTGTAAGCAGCTAAACAAAATGCAGCTCTTTGATGCTGAGTAAAATGGCTTTTTTGTTTTTAGAATGATGTGTTTGGTGATTGTAAATGTTTGAGTCAAAAACCAACCTGACTGAGGTTGTGGGAGACCTAGCTAAGGCCATCAGTGCTGCAAGCTGCAGAGGGTTTCTCTGTAAACGGTCTTAAAAACTTTTTAGAGGCAGGAAAGTTTATTTTACTCTTGATTTATATATGCTTTCTATTGAAAAGTATTTCTCAGATTGCTGATATAGGATGATATTCTGCTTTACAACTGGGTCAGTCATTGGATAAATAAATACAGATTAAATATTTATTCGGTGTAACTGAGTAGAATTTTTGGCCCATAGTCTGAGACTATAATTACCTAAACTCTTATGTAAAGATACATTAGCAAAATATTATGCAAATAATAACTACTGACATGTACATATAAAACAAAACTGAAACAAGACTTTTTTTTAATGATCTTGTAGTATGAATTTCTGTTACGGGGTAAAATTATATTTTAGCTGTATATTTAATCTAAGTACGGCAGTAATACATAAGCTTTTCATAGCTAAACTAAATTATGGAGGATAAAACAATTTACAGGAAGAAGAAGAAATCTGATTTTTGGCCCTGAATGTGCATCAAGATCCACTGGGCTAAACTTCTGTATTCATGTAGATCAATGTATATCGATGAGATTCCATGACCACAAGGATCTGTGCTAGTGTATCCTGATGCAGGATCTGTGTGTGTGAAATAGTCTATTCAGAAAGAGACCAGCCCTCCCTTTCTACCATCTCTGCTGGTAGAAGGGTGTGTAGTTTTACATGTGAAACATCATGAGCTGCTTCTCTTTGTGGGTTGATTTTTAAACTGTGCATCCTACAAAGTTGGGCCAGCTCTTGCACATAATTAACATGCGAGTGAGCAAAAGAACAAGGATGGTCAATTGTATAACAAATGCAACTTGATTTTAAGAAGACAGTTTTAGGACTGCAAACATATCTGTGTTGTGGGATTTTGTAGCTCAGCCCAAATGATACTCCTCAGAGGATCCTGAAATGTTTTTGGTTCTTCTTAGGCCATGATTTTCTCCCTCCCCCCTAATGTCACAGATCTGGTTTGGCTTCCCCTGCTGGTGGCGGATCAGATTGAGAGGATCCGAACATGAAGTCCCCTGCATGCTTTAAGCTTCCCTGGGTCTCAGCAGGCTGCAGCATTGTTTCCTCCCTTGGCCTCTCTGGCACGTTTCTTGGGCTCATCAGTCTCCTATATGCAGCTCCACTCAGCGTGAGCTGGTGAAAGTCTGTAGAATCCCCAAATAGATCAGCACCTGCCCTTTGTAACCTTCCAGTCCCTTTGTGAGGTGACATCGGAGGAGGCAAATCCAGGACACTTTGTTGTCAGGTGACCTTCTCCCTGACAAATCAGTTTTCATGGTCAGAGCCAGTCTTTTGTCTAGAGCAATAAGCAATTACATTTCAGTAGCTGAACACTGAATTCAGCAACCCTCTTGTGTCAGCAGCTTTAGCATTTCAAATCCAACATAAAGGGGAAAAAAAAACAGAGAGAAGATACTTAGCCTCCATATTAAGAAGGGAGTTTGCAGCTTGGTAATGATGCATACAGAGTTCATAAATTGTACAGATCCCCAGATCACTACTCCCCATTATGGCCCCTGAGCACTTGTTGGCAGTTACCATCACAGTGCTCATTGGAGCTGGGTGAAATTTTTTGGTGAAAAATGCAGCAACAGAGAACAATTTCAAGAAGTTGTCGTTTTTCATGAATTGTGTGTGTGTTTTATCAACACACATACCACCCCTCTACAAGTTTAAATGTTATGACTACATCTTTGAAATGAAATGGTTAGATTTTTTGGTTTGAAATGACTTGTGAGAAATTTCCTTCCAATTTATTAAAATAAAAAACATGAAATGCTCAAAATTAAAGCAAACTCTTTCATTTGATCTGAAACAAATTTTGTTTGATTTTTATTTGGGGCGGGACAATTGCCAATGAACTGAAAAACCCATTCACATAATGCTCAACTGTAGCTGGGATAAAGAACTAACTGTAGTGACCTCTAAGGCTGCCATCTTCACCATACCATAAATAAACTAGAAGGAATTATTCACCGAGCAGAAGGAACCATTATCATCCTCTTTTTTTTGCGGGAAAATCACAAGTCTGCTCCCAAACTCGTGGTCCTTCTTAGCTTTGAAGCCACCAGATTCTGCTTGTCTGAATTTGAAAAGACCTCAGATAGTCTGAGCTTCAGTGCAGTGTATCTATTGTAAATAGAAGTCTAAAAAATTAGGTTCCATAAATGTTTCGACTTGGATGAACCATCTCTCTGCCATTGGGCTTATTTCCCTTTCCTTCCATCCCTTTCTTAGTCAGTTTATTACACTTACAAGGCTGAGCCCCAAACCTCATTAAGCAGATACATGAACAGCTTCTTTCTTTGTTGGGATTCGTATGCTGTTGTCTTATAAAGAACTATCTTGTTCAAAACAGTATTAGGTAAAATAGCCTGGAACAAAACTCCCTGTAAACTTCCCAGAGTCAGACTCATTGTAATCCTTTTCCTGCTCTGCTAGATACATTTGCTGTTATAATTTCAGGTGCCCATTTTGTTCTTTTTAATATAATATTTCTGAATAATTTTAAAGTGGGTGTTAAATATCCTGTTTGGAAATCAGTTTCATAATCCATTCTAGTTAGTCTGATTATTTAAAGAATTTTTAAAAATAGTTTAAACTAACTCATTTGGGGATTTATTTTCCCCTCCTCCCCTCCTGTATCTAGTTACTATCATTCTAGCGAATTTTTCCCCACTTTCTGTTACTATTTCAAGATGGTATTGGTGAACTTGCCCATTTTCCAACATATATTCTGTTTTCATCATTCTCTGTCTGAGCTGCTCAGAGCACTTTCTTTAACTCAAACTTTTATCACAGTGCTGCTAAAAATAAATAACTAAACCATAGGAAAATTATTCAAGATGAGGATAGTTAGTGGTGTCATTAGGAAGGGAATCAAATAAACTGTAAACAATTCAGTGATCTAGTTTTCTAATCCATTAAAATGGACAACCAACAAAAGTTAAGCAAGTTTCCTCCAATTAAAAAACTAAAATAAACTCTGCTTTAGCAATTGATGGAAAAGCAGTCTTGGAAGAAATCCTAGAAGAATCAAGGAAATGAGTTGAAGTCAAAAAGGAAACAGAAGTGTCTTAAGGAAGAGAGAATTCTGCAGAAAGAAACTTTGGGTCAAATTGGTGTAATACCATGTAGCAAAGCGCCGACTCACCGGTGCAGCGCCTCCTCCTGGTCAGTCTGGGAATTAGCTCATCCAGCTCAGGAGCGCCCTCCTCTGGCCGGTTTCTCATCCTCAGTTACCTGCCCTTTTGTCTCCACCTCTGGCCCCATGTCCCTCCCGGACTCCAGTGCCCCTTACCTTGGGGTACTGCCTCACAGCAGTGCCCCCACACTCTAGGTCTCCCCTCCCAGGGGAGCACCAACCCCCTATACCCACCTTGCCTCAGTGGCTACTGCCAGTTGTCATCTAGCCCCTTCTCTCAGGGGCAAACTTAGGGTTACCATACGTCCGGATTTTCCCGGACATGTCCGGCTTTTTGGGCCTCAAATCCCCATCCGGGGGGAAATCCCAAAAAGCTGGACATGTCCAGGAAAATAGGGAGGTAGGGCCTGGCGGTGCGGGACGGGCGCGGTGCTTGGCCAGGGGCCCGGGGCCAGAGCGGTGCTGGGCCGGGGGCGCGGGCACTTGGCCGGGGCCGGCGCCAGGACCGGGACTGGGGTCGGCGCGGTGCTCGGCTGGGGGCACGGGGCCGGCACGGTGCTGGGCCGGGGGTGCGGGCACTTGGCCGGGGGCCGGCGCGGTGCTGGGCCAGGGGCCAGGGCCCCAGCCGGGCGGGAGACGCCGGGGCCAGAGCCTCTTGGCCTGGGCCAGCAGGCCGCCGAAGGGAGCCTCTCGGCCAGGGGGGCCGGACTGAGCTGCGCCGCACCCCGCCCCAGCTTACCTGCTGCCTCCCTGTTTCAGGCTTCCCGCGAATATGTGATTCGTGGGAAGCAGGGGAGGGGGAGAAGCAGGGGGCGGAGCGTTCAGGGGAGGGGGCGGAGTTGGGGCGGGGCTGGGGCGAAGTTGGGGGCAGGGAAGGGGCCCCATGGAGTGTTCTCCTTTTTAAAAATTAAAATATGGTAACCCTAGCAAACTGCAGTCTGAAATGGCCACTCATCACTGTCAATGGTTGGACCTGCTGCCTTTCTAGCCCCAGCTGCCTCCCTGCAGCTCTAGTACCTCCCCTGGCCTTTAGCAAGGCCTCAGCCTGGGGACTCACCAGGGCAGAGCTCCTCAGCTTGCCCTGCCCTTCCCCAGCCCTGCTCTGTCTCAGGTACCCTGCTTGCTCTCCCAGGCAGCCTGGTCCTCTCTGCTCCCCAGCTGGAGCAAGAGTCTCCTCTCTCAGCCTGCCCTTTTATCCAGGCCAGCTGTGCCCTAATTGGGTGCAACCACACATGTGTCTGACTTCCCAACCAGCCTCCCTTGGCTGCTTTTAACCCCTTTCTGACTGACTTAATTCATCACCAAGAATATATTTGACCTCTTTCTACATTTTAAAAAAAGTGTTATAGGAATAATGCATTCTTCTCAAATAACTTGGCTCCCACTAATAAAACAAGGGCTAGCTATTGA